AATCTCTTTTTAACGGGATACTTATGTTGTACTTAAAGAACTTTAATTTGTTCCGGAAAAGGTTTCTGTCAGACCGAATTTATGGGGTGTGATTCAAAGACTCTCCAATCTTATAAAGATTTAACAAATTATGCTTGCATGGGCTTAATTCATCAGTTCTGGATGCAATATTTACAAAAATAGATAAAGATTTGAACATCAACAACGACAATATATGATGTATTCTTAAAGTGGACAGATTCCGTACTAGGTCTAATATTGAGTATTTCTTAAACCTCCAACCCCCCAATCTCATTAGTGATGTGGTTGTCATTGCGCACAATCTGGAAAAGGTAAAGAAATAGGGAATCAGATCTCATACCTCTCCCCATAGCCATCTTCTTTCTCAAAATTTTGATCTTTTTTATTTTTAATGAAAAATAAACTTTCTGTAATTATTCTTTGATGTGTGATAAAAATGTGTGGTGAAAATATTATGAAAGGGTGATAAAAATGTGTAGGGTATGCTTTGATCTGTTTTGGCTTTTTTCCAACTTATACATCAATTAGGTGATGACTAGCTACTAGTGATAGATACTAATTCTATCTTAATGATGATTTCTTGATTCTTAATTTTTTACTTAATAATCCCACCTACCTTGTAACAAGTGTTATTATCACTACAATTAAGTAATATTAACGTTTAAGAATTAAAGTCACATTTTTTATACCATGTTTATTCTCCAAAATTTTGTCAAATAAGTGTTATATATAAATATATATTTTAATAAAAATTTTATAAATCTGTAAAGATAAAATACCATAAACGAAGTCCATAAAATAAGTACTTAACTGAGATTCACAATAATTGAATGTTTCTGATAGGTAAATTGCTTTATTAAAAGCAGTGTTGAAAAAGACTTTAGGCACATCCTAAGCGATCATGGGGCGCCTAGCAGCTAGCGCCGATTAATCGAAGCCTAGGTGTTTGATTATTTATTTATTTTTTAATTTTTTAAGTGGTTATTTGCAAAATAAAAATAAAAATTCAGCCGCCTAGGTGCCAGGCCGCGGAAGAAGCCGATTTCGGTGTTCCTCGATGCTACCGGGCACTACTTAGTGATTAGGCGCGATTTTTACAACCATAATAAAAAGGCCATCAACATATGTGATAATCATACAAGTTACTTTAATAGATATATCGAGTGCCTAGCGCCGATTAATCGACGCCTAGCTGTATGATTTTTTTTTTTTTTTTAAGTGGTTATTTGTAAAAAAAAAAAAAAAAAAAAAAAAAAAAAGTTCAGCCGCCTAGGTGCAAGGCCGCGGAAGAGGTCGATTTCAGCGTTCTTCAATGCGACCGGACACTGCTTAGTGATTAGGCGCAATTTTTACACCCATAATAAAATAGCCGTCAACATATATGATAATCATACAAGTTACTTTAAAAGATATATCGAGCGTCAACATATTTAATAATCATAGCTTAGACGCACAAAAAATAATAGTGGATAACGAGATCTATTATATAGAGTTTCACGCCTATACCGATTTGACAAGATATTGTAAATTTTGTCACGTGTGTACGTATACATTGCAAGTCTTTAGTGCTTCAAACTTGGGGTCTCTATCGAGTCTTTGACTTTCAATGTAGATGAGATGATGGTAGCCCAAATACCGCGTGCCACGTCGGGTCAACATAGTCAAATGTAAAAGATTGCAGTCCTACGTGTCACCTTATGGCTATGATCATATCTAATTGAGTTCTACTATATCACTATATGTACTCTCAAATCATACTTCCTTAAATTTATTTTATAATATGGCGAATATTGATAAGCTATTTTTTTCATGTGGATTCCTATAAATATATTTACATCAAAATTTAAGTACGAAAGTAAAAATTAAGAGTATAAAATAAGAGTACTATTTTTCTATCTAGTTTTCAATTGGTCCGTGAACATTGGCTATATTACACCCGTCACACTTTCAGTTTGGTCAGTGAAACAGTGATCAATATTTTAAATGATGGACAAAAATATATTGACCATATTATCGAATCGAAAAACAACGGTCCAATTTGGTAACATAGTTAGCTTATTAGTCAATTTTGATTTATTTGAACACTATTAGTTGTTTAACATGTTTAAACATTTAATATAAATATTTAATTAATTAGTTTTTTTGTAACAGTTTATTACTCTAAAATGTTAAGATTTTTCGAGCAACTTTTTGAAAAAGTCAGTTTGCATGTAATCAACGATAATTTAATAGCTAATTTATCAAACATCTCTTTATAATTAGCTAACGCTATCAATTATTAAAACTCACTAACCCAATCAGCTAACAACTAATAACTATTTATCAAACATTTCCAATATCAATTACATATCGGAGACATCTTCATCCTTGTCTTCTCTAGTCAGCAATTTGCGTTTGCCTCATTGATTTGGCTCTCGTTAAGAAATACAAAGTCAATAGGGACCTTTTGTGATTCTCAACTATTGTGAGTATTTAGTGTTGATTTAATATTCGCCACAATATAACGAGTGATCAAGATTTATTAGATAGTATATAGTCATAATTGTTTGATCTTTACATTAAAATTAGCTTGTTGTTCAATATAATATTCATCATAATATGATAAATGACTAAGATTTACCGAGTATAATATATAATATGTGGTTATAATCATTTGACCTCTACTATTTAAATGATGTTATTCTTTAATTATGATATAGTGTAAGTTTCAATCTATATTCCAGATGCACATTGCATCCCGTACATGAAAATTGACAGGATTTCCAACATAAATAATTAACTGATGTAAAACGCATTTATGATTTAATTAAGGGAAAATGGCACTTTTTCCCCCTATGTTATATATTTATAGCACTTTTTCCCCCTCAATTATTTAAGTGGCTCTTTTTCCCCCTGAAATGTTAAATGGACATATTTACCCTTAAAATAAATATTTAATTTATTTTTATTCTCCAATAAATTATTACTATAATTTGGTTCAAACCAGATACTATAGTAACCAAACCAAAATATTCCAATTACAATTTATAATCAAAACGCGATATTTAGAGTTTATTAAAATCACGAACTGGAATGGGCGGTTCATGTTCCAAACTGAAAAAATAAAATACATTTATTGTTGAATTTAAACTATTTTAAAATAAAAAATAAAATTTTAAAATAAAGACGGTTCAAAATCGCGAATGGGATCCGGAACCGTCGGTTCATGATCCAGTTTTTTTTTTTTTTTTTATTCTTAAATTTTAATAAATTGAAATCCAAATATTGGGTTCTAGATCTGAATCATAACTGAAAAATTTTAATTCGATTGCTATAGTGTCTGGTTCAGTTCGAACCGAACCGTGGTAATCGCTACATATACGCAATAATTTGTTGGAGAAGTAAAATAAATAAAATGTTTACTTTAAGGGTAGAAATGTCAATTTAATATATTAGGGGAGAAAACCACCACTTTTAAAATAATTGAGGGGGCTAATGTGCTTACATAAATAATTGAGGGAAAAAAAGTGCTATAAGTATATAACATAGGGGGAAAAAGTGCCATTTTCCCTTTAATTAAACTTGTGAAATACATTTACCAAAAATGAATAGGAAATATAATTGTGTTTCATTGAATTTAACCCAATCCTCACAATGGTCGGATACAATGAACTTTGGTCCTGTTTGACGGTTAACTGATAGCTGTTTGCTGTTAGCTGATTGTGTTAATTAGATGGTATAAATAGTTGATAACATTAGTTGATTGTAAAAAAGTGTTTGGTAAATTAGCTGTTTGATATAATTTCTTTTCTCAAAAAGCTAATTGAAAAAGTTGCTAGGTGTAGCTTTTTTAATTTTAGCCTTTTGGAGTTGTAAAAAACTAATTAACCAAACATTTATATTGATATTTTAACTAAATCAAACAATTAATAGTGGTCAAATAAGCCAAAATTGGCCTATAGACCAATTTTTTACCAAACAGGTTTCTTTTTCCAAAAAGTTGAACCTCTAATCCTAAGATTTTTACATTTCGACCCGACAGAATATTTGGAAGAATGTAAATTATGATGACTTAATGATTTATGACAAGATCAAATGTCGGTGAAGGGATCAGTCCACTTTGAACATAATCTCACACTATAATTGTAGAAGTTTGAATTTTAATATTTTATTTTAAATACTGTTTACTGAATTAGTGAGCTAAGTCGGTGCCACGATAAACTTTTTCTGCCGACGACGGTTATAGGGAATGGGGAAACTATGGTCGGCGAGATTAAACCGTTAAACAAAAAAAGACAATCTGTCAGTGTTGCCGTCAAAGTTCAACCCTCGGAACCGTATTACTATATTCTTTACTCAGTCAACCACCGTTACACTTAACAGTACGGACAACTCCGTCCACGACCGTCTATATATATGCACGAAGCTTCGCTCCTTAGCCATTTGTTCTTTCGAGTGCAGCGGCTATGGTTGGTTTTCATTCCTCAAATTCTCCGAATTTTCATAGTACGTACAAACACTAAAACAGTCGCACAGGAAATCCGAAGCTCCTGCGAGGATAGAGATTCAGTGTTCTTCTGCAAATATTACAGTACAGTAATATAGGTATTTGCTCACTTTTTTGTTCTGTTTTTGAGTTTTTCTTTCGCAAGTTTGAAAAAGATAATCGAAAGGGGAACCGAAATTCAAAGTTGTGATTCGCGTGGGTTGTCATTTTCTTGGTCGAATATTACGGGACTTTTCGAGATTGGGTTATTAGACTTCGCATGCCGCATAGGTCGGTCAAGGGGTAGAATTTTGCAGAGTTTGAATATTGAGTTTTTTCTTCGTTGTCGCTATCGCAAGCCGGGAAAACTCATCAGCTTTCCGCGAATTTAGCAGCTCTTTGTAGCATTTTTCTATGAAAAAAGCTTTAAATTTCTGGGCTTGTCATCATGTGGCTGCTGGAATTTAGACCGTCAACTCGTAGGTTATTCTTTTTGTTAGAATAATAATGTTTAGTGAATGTTGGTGTTAGATTCTGGGTTTGAACTTTGAAGTTTTCCTTGTTTACACAGAGGGAAAGGAGTTGAAGATTTGAGTTTTGGGTATTCTATAAAGGACAAAGATTTAATTTTTCTTGAGACTTGTATTCAATGTTTGCTTCTTTGGTGGTTGGGCCTCATGAGTGTTCATATTTGATGCAATTAAGGTAACACATGATTCTTGTACTAATAGCTGGATTATTGTCTGAACTTTTATATCAGATGTTTCTCTGCCTTGTTTTCATTAGTTGAGCCTTTTTCCTGCCCTGGAGTTTGGCAGTTTGTTTTTCTGTTTCAAAAGTATATAACATTAAACTGCAAAGATCGGAGGAGTGTTTTCAATCATTTTTAGGTTATGGAATTGCAAAAATCTGGTACAAGGATTATGTTTGATCTTTCCCAGAACTATTTCTTCTGGTTTTGCTGTTTTTCTTGGTTTAAAGATCATGAAGATATGGAATGGTGTTTGTTGAATCTTAGATGGTCTGCAATCCACAACGAATTGCATCAATCTCTTCTTGGAAGTTAATAGTTTCAAATCTTGTTTGTTATCTGATATGTGCTATGTATGATTGGTTATTCTTAATTTCGAGGGTTTAGGGTTTTTGTAATTCTGAATTATATATTTCTCACAGGTGAAGAAAGACGAAAGATATATGTTTGAACTGTGACAAACTTCGTAGCATGGACTCCCATCAATTTTTTGGATATGGTATAAATGGAGCGGATTTTGCATACTCTTCGTATCCCGATATTGCTTCAATACCTACTAGGCATATTGGATCGTTAAAATTCGACTCAAGAACTTCCCCGAATTCGCCTTTTGCAACTCACTTCGATCCTCAGACCCCGACCTCTCTAAGCGACAGCCAGGAGCAACAGAGCTCCACTGATAATCTTTCGGGAATCAGTGCTTCGAGCAATTCTCTACTGGATTATAGCAGTTACCTCCAAGAAAGTCTGCTAATTCCTTCGGGTTCGACTTCTTTTCATCGTAATCAGAAGGGAAAACATGTTTTATGGCAGCACCAAGAACCATTAGGCCAGAAGTCTAGGTCTTGGAGCCAGGAAGGGCAGATTTCGGGCCTGATTGAGTTTCAGCCGTCTCGTGTCTCGTCGATTGGAAAACCCGATGGGAGTGTTCATAGCCTAAAACGCTACAAAACCGTGCAGGACTTTCCCTTGCAGGGTGTTCCTCAGGGCAATATAAAACAGCTTCTCATTGCGTGTGCTCGGGCTCTACTTGCTGAAAATAAAGACCATTTCGATAGACTGGTTGAAGAAGCTCGTGTTTCTGTGTCCATCACCGGGGATCCTATTCAGCGCCTCGGGGCTTACATGATAGAAGGGCTAGTTGCGAAGAAAGAGGCATCGGGGGCCAACTTTTATCGGGGTTTGAAGGGTAAAGAGCCAGCGGGGAAGGACTTACTCTCCTACATGCACATCTTGTATGAATTGTGCCCTTATCTGAAGTTCGGTTATATGGCTGCGAATGGTGCCATAGCAGATGCGTGCAGAAACGAAGACCGAATCCACATTATCGACTTCCAAATCGGGCAAGGGACTCAATGGATGACTCTTCTACAAGCACTTGCTGCAAGGCCTAGCGGTGCCCCTCGTGTGAGAATCACGGGGATTGATGACCCGGTTTCACAATATGCTCGGGGAGATGGTTTAGCAGCCGTGGGGAAACAGCTAGCTGCGATATCCGAGAAGTTCAGTATCCCGGTTGAGTTTCATGCGGTGCCCGTTTTCGCTCCAAAAGTCACCCGGGATATGTTGGATATAAGGCCCGGCGAGTCACTGGCTGTGAACTTTCCTTTTCAGCTCCACCACACCCCCGACGAGAGCATAGACATGAACAACCCGAGGGACGGTCTTCTTAGGTTCGTGAAGTCGCTTTCCCCCAAGGTAGTCACTTTGGTGGAGCAAGAATCGAACACGAACACCGCCCCGTTCTTCCCGAGATTCTTAGAAACTCTCGACTACTACTCAGCAATCTTCGAGTCAATAGACGTGACCCTAGCAAGGGACAAGAAGGAGCGCATCAACGTCGAGCAGCACTGCCTGGCACGAGACATCGTCAACGTCATAGCTTGCGAAGGCCAGGAGAGGGTCGTGCGCCACGAGCTATTAGGCAAGTGGAAATCCCGGTTTACAATGGCGGGGTTTCGCGAGTACCCTCTCAGCTCCTACGTTAACTCGGTAATTAAAAGCCTCCTGAAGTACTACTCCGAGCACTACACGCTCGTGGAGAAAGACGGGGCCATGCTGCTCGGGTGGAAACAGCGCAACCTCATCTCCGCTTTGGCTTGGCATTGACAAACAAACAAACAAACAAACAGACAGACAGGTACAGAAAATCTCGGAGGCATCCATTGATCCATAGATGTCTTGTTTCTAGCACACACTAGGTTGGAAAACAAAAGGAATAAACACTCTTCTGGTATGACTATACTATACAGAGATAGAGCAGCATGTATACAAGGTTTTCTTGATGTAACATAAAACATGATGTTGGTACTACTTTGATTTCTTGGTTGTTTTTAGTCATATCAGTTATATATACTTTTACAGATATCCAGCCTCTCCCAAACGTTTTGCTGAATCATGAAAACCCCATTTCTGCTTTCTTTGCTGTTGTTTTCTTTGAGTGACGTGGAAAACTGCAGTCACTATCCGAGGGTTAAACGTGATTTGTGACCCTAGTTGGTAATGGACTACGATGAGGTAAACCAACATAGGTTATCAATAGTTGACTACAATGTTGCATAAGGGGCTAGTCGGCCTAGTAATTCGAGTATATCATCTCTACTTTTTTCACTCGAGACTAGAAGTTGCTAGATTTTATAATTCACCAAACTAGTTAACTACATATATTAAATGGTTAGTTGAGTACATGACTGGAGGAATATAGAAAAGAAGTGGTGAGTAGGCAAAAAACCACTCGGCCGCCTTGAACGCCAACTAGGCCGAGTCAGTGCCTAGTTGGCCGGTTAGTCGATTAGCCGATTAAAAGGCATTTAGAGCTAAAATCGCTTCGGACTAGGAGCGTCTAAACGTCGATTTTTACAACCGTGGACTGATTCGAACTAAAAAGACTAATAAATTTTTTTTTTTATTAAGAGTCAAAATTATAATCTTGTGATAACCAACCAAACCAACTAAGCTAGTCACTTGGTGGGTTCCCTTCTGAGTTAGGTGCAAGTGTTCAATTTTGAGTGTTGGAGTTCATTATTTATTGTAACCAAGTCACCAGATCTGACCAGTCTGAATCAATGTTTTTGTCTGTGTAAAATTGTTGACTTTTCACTTCTCAGAGGGTTCTGACTGAAAGTTATCTACACATATAAATAAATAAATAAAAGTAACCCTACTCCAAAGTCCAAAGTATCCTCCTTTGATCCAAATATGACGGGTTTGATTCCGCAAATTATGGTATGAACCACAATAAAAAATAAATTATTAATATATTATTTGTGTAATGAATGTACATTATATAAAATAATGTATTTTTTTAGTATTTAAATAATATATTTTTTAAAATAAAATTCACATTTTTATTATATTAAAATATATATTATTTGATAGTATAAGAGCATCCACATCAGTTGGGGAGAATTGGGGGATAATGTAAGAGTGATTAGGAAAGAGAGTGTGGGAGGGGAGAGAAAAAAAAAAAAAACCAAAAACTGAAATTTTTAAAATAAAAAAGCAATGTAAACAGACGCGTCAGGCGCGCTTGACGCGTCTCCGGGCGCGTGCAACGCACGCGCCCGGCTTTCTCTCCATTTTGCGCGAAACGCGCTAAAGCGCGCTTATCTTTTTTTTTGCCATTATCTTGGCATTTGCAGAATGATTATTTTTGATATTATCTTTGCTTCCCATCACTTGAAGTGCATATTACTGTACTATTATCTCCCTATTATACATTGCTATGGATGCTCTAATACATATAGTTGTGTGGACTATGATAAACGTAAATTAAAGATCTTATGAAAAGATTTTTCAAAATTGCTACACAAATGACAATTCTCTCCCTTACCCCTAGTTGGATTTGGCCTGTCCCTTTAAGACGACACGCATGCATTCTTTTGCAGAAACTTTGTACTCAAAGTCTACAAATGGTGTACGAAAAAGCGTAAACTCAAATTCCAAAGGTTTGAAACTTGAATCCCTTAAATATAAAATAAAATTTAATCGATATTTCATTGAGTTAATACCTAAAATCGTCCTCGACTATAGTGGTTTTTCTTAATTTCGTCCTAAAGGACTTTGGTAACTTAATATCATCCTAGACTTTTGTGTTTCGTTCAATTTAGTCCTCTATTTGTTATTCTGTCAAATTGGTGTTAAATAAAGGGATAATTCAGTAATGTCAATATTGATCTCTCTTTACTTTCAACTTGTGAAGTGCGAAATTCCTCTTTCTTGTACGAATTACACCCAGAATTACTCCCGGACCTGCAAATCAAATTTTATATTCGCAGTTTTAGGAGTAATTAGTAAAAAAAAAAAGAATTTCGCAGTTCACATGTCTATGCGTAAAGAGATACCAATATTAAAATTACTGAATTGTCTATTTATTTAACACCAAATGGACAGAATAACAAATGAAGGACTAAATTGAGCAAAAACACAAAAGTCTGGGACGATATTAGGTCACCAAAATCGTTTAGGACGAAATTGAAAAAAATCACTATAGTCGAGGGCGATTTTGAATATTAACTCATATTTCATTGAATAATTTACCTCCTTTACCCACCAAATTATCCATTTCCATAAATATATAAATATTTATTGCTTTATCGCCTATTTAACTAAAAATTAAATGCCATGTATTCTTAAATTTACCCTGCATTATTATGGCCCAATAAGGAAATATATCATTAATTATTTAATACTATTTTGTGGGAGTCTGGATTAGTATATAAAGCACGAGAATTCTAGGAATCCGACCAATCCACAGAGGTCACGCGAAACATCTCGTGATCTCGCCGTCCGACAAAAAAGCCAAAACAAAACAAAAGGATGTCTACGACGACGCCGGCGACGGTGAGGTCTTCTTCGGACGACGGAGACGGAGGCATGGACCTCCGGCGGCCGCTCGTCCCGGCGGTGGGGGGCAAAGCCGAGAAGCTGACCGTCGACGACGCGTTGCAGAAATACTGCGGCGAGTTCGGGTGGTGGCAGCTGCGGCACTTCGTGTTAACCAGCCTGGCGTGGGCGCTTGAGGGGATCCACACCATGGTCATGATCTTCGCCGACCGTGACCCCGCCTGGCGCTGCTCCTCCGCCGCCTGCTCGGAGGCGGCGACTGGGAGCGTGTGTGGGCTTGAGCCCGGGTCCTGGGAGTGGGACGGCGGCGACGGGAGCTCCACGGTGTCGGAGTTTGGGCTTATTTGTGGGCAGATATATCGGGTTGGCCTCGTCCAATCGTTGTTCTTCGCCGGCTGTATGATCGGTACGTCCCCCCCAGTCCCCCTCCGTTCTTTCCTTATCGCCTCCCATTTCTTTATGGCGCCATAAATACTTCCAACAACAACAACGATAATAATTAATAACAATTAATAACAACAATAATAATAACATAATAATTGTGAATGAAAGTTATGTCTGTTTTTTCAATTAATTTTTTTTATACATTATGCTATAAAAGTTGTATTTTACAATATTTTAGACAAACATAACCCTAGCGTCATAAGTTCCGTTATCTTTTTTTCACAATTTTTGCTATGCATATGCATCCACTATATTTTTTTTCAATAATAATAATAATATATACACATTATATATTGGAGTTATATATTAGTTATTTTCTAAAATATAAATATTAAATTTATAAAAATGTTTTACATTATTATTATTATTATTTACAAATTTACAATAATTTAAATTTCTAAAATTGAAATAAATTTAAAATTTTAATATAAAGTATTAATATTAGGCATCTTGTGATAATAATATTATAGATGTTAAACACTAAACCAATGTTAGATGCTAAATCATAAACCAAATAAAACAAAAAAACGCAGTCATAAATTTTAAAACTGAAATCATTAAGTACAATGTCCTTTGGCATTAAGTACAATTTTTTAATACTAAATGTGCAAAATATTAATATTTGTAAGGGTTCAAGTTTATAAAATTAGTGATAATTACAAAAATATCATTACATTTTTTAAATCAGATTTAGTTCTTTTTCTCCTACGGACTTGTTATATATATATTAGGTGAGGTCGTGAGGAGGCGAGTTCAAATAAATAATTTGCACCGTCCAGATTAAACACAAAGATGTTCTGAATTTAGGGTTCTAATCTTTAAAAAAAAAAAAAAAATTGCTAATAAAATACAAACATGTTGTGGGGCTCTAAATCAAACAGTATTGAAAGTACGATAATCATGATCCGAAATTTGAGTAACCAGACACATGTTCTCTGTTTAGGTGAAACTCACGTCTCACGTGATGTGTCTGCATTGAATATTCTGTAGAATATATTCAATGATTCAACTCAGTGTATATATATATATACAATGAACATTAGAACTTTAAAAAATAAAATTGGATAAGCAAAAATAAACACGTAATTAATTACTATCGGAAATCGTGTATGATAGACTGTAAATTTGTACCGAGTAGGTCCCGCCATGTTTAATAACTTGAATGCGTTAGTTTCCACTTTTTGTGTCTTTTTTTTCGTGGAGGCATCATATCATCAGTACTTTGGAAGAGGATAATGATGACAGGCTTCCGTGTTCGTTGCAGAATTTTTTGACATTGTTTAATGATGTCTGACGAGTTTCTGGTAAGATGTTGCAGGTGCTGGAGTGTTTGGGCATCTTTCAGATTCAAGAATGGGGAGAAAAGGATCTTTAACGATCGTTTGTATTATGAACGCCGTTTTTGGATGTTTGACGGCGTTCTCTCCAAACTACTGGTTCTACGTTGTTCTCCGTCTTTTCTCCGGTTTCAGCACCGGCGGGACAGGTCTCTGCGCGTTTGTCCTGGCGACGGAGCCCGTCGGGCCGTCGAAGCGGGGACTCGTCGGGATGTCAAGTTTCTACTTCTTCTCCGGGGGGATAGCGCTTGTTTCCGGGATAGCTTATAAGTTTCAGACATGGCGGGCGCTTTATGTGGCTTCCTCGATTCCGTCCATTCTTTTTGTCTTCCTCGTACTTCCTTTTCTTCACGAGTCGCCGCGGTGGTGCCTTATTCGAGGGAGGGTCGGGGAAGCCATGAAAACCATGCAGAGTATTGCGAGGGTGAACGGGAGGGAGCTACCGGAGGATGTGGTTCTTGGGCTTGATAGTGAAGTTGGCGGCGGCAGCGGCCGCGGTTCTTCGCATTTTCTTATTCCGACGGTCGTGGAGTCCAAGGAATCTTTGTCGGGCTCACTCATTGATGTTCTCCGGTGTCCTCTCACTCGTGTCCGTTTGTTCCTTGCCGTCATAATCAACTTCACGTGCGCTATTGTGTACTACGGGCTCAGCCTAAACGCTGTTAACCTCGGGACCAACCTGTACTTAAACGTCGCCGTGAACGCCGTCGCGGAGATGCCGGCGTATTTCTTGACCGCGATCTGGCTAGACAGGCTTGGGAGAAAGCCGTTGGCGATCGGGACGCAATGGTTCAGTGGGCTGTTCTGCGTGGCCGGAAGTTTGATGAAGGCGTACGGGACGTCGACGGTAATCCCTATGATATGTGGGGTTTTGGGGATTTTCGGGATGGCCGGAACTTACAATCTGCTGTTCATCTACACGGTGGAGCTGTTTCCGACGACGGTGAGAAACGCGGCCCTTGGATGCGCCACGCAGGCGGCGCAGCTGGGGGCGATTCTGGCGCCGTTCATCGTGGTTTGTGGCGGAGGGATTCCGTTTGCGGTGTTCGGAGTTTGTGGGATTGCCGGAGGGCTGCTGGGGTTTTACTTGCCGGAGACGTTGAATAAACCGTTGTATGATACTTTAGGTGGGATGGAAGACGGAGAAGGCCGTGCATGGGTTGCATGAAGTGTACTGTTTTGTGATTTTGTAATGAACTAATGTATGATAGTTTTTATCGGGCCCGTGTTTGACTTGATTAAATAATAAATATGATTTTGATTAATTAATATTTTGTAATAATTTATTACTTTAAAATGTTAAAATTTAAAAATGTTATTCAAAGTAATTTGCTTCAAAATATTAAAATTCAAATAATTGTTTATAGCAATTTTTTTGATTGCATTTTGTATTCAAAAACTATTAATTATTTTACTAAATATTTTTCTACAATCAACTATCAATCATTTACCAAACATCCCAACAATGTTTTATTACAACTTTTTAGATGATGCATTCAATACTGCACTCTCAAATGCATTAAATATTTTTTTTCATTTCATTCAAACCTTTACATCATAAAAAGTAAAAAATAAGAATAGAAAATGAAAGTTCATATAAAATTACTCTTTTTCTCATCTTTTTCTCATCTTTATTCGCCTACATACAAAATAAGCAAGAAATGAAATAGCATTCCTTTGCCATTAACCAAATGAACATTACAACATCATTACTCCTATAATTTTGTTTTAATTCTCTAAAACCAAACAATGAAACATTAAAGTAATAGTTTAGAGATATATGAGAGTTTGTCATAAGGTCCCACCTAGTAAACATAGGAGAAAACATACCAAATAAGAAGGAATAATGGATTAAATGGAACTGTCTTGTACATAAATCTTTTATAAATTTAAGAGTTCAATGAAAACAATAACAATCGATTTTGGTCTTTGAGAGTAGGGAACAAAAAGTATAAGAGTAGAGTATTAGTTGATGAATGGGAAGTTTCCATGAATCACAGTTGTTCTACAAACCAAAAAAGATGACATTAATCTATGGAAACCTTCTTCCATACTTGAGGTGTCTATGGATCTACTGGCTGCCAAATGGAGGTCTGTTGAAATTGCCATTTGAAGGTCCATAGTTGTTGTTCAGTGGGGGAGGCTGTTCTCTCGGTCTTGCATACTCCGCAAAAATTACCCATCCATCAAGAAACTACAAAGCAGGAAAGGCACGAACCAGTTAAGCTCGGAGTTGTTAAGATACAAATCAAGTATCAAAAACAGGTAAAGAAAGTAGCTTAATGACCAGAAATATAATGTAGTTGAGCAAGCTGCAGACCATTTAAGGCAAGACAATAGTTTTTGTTCAGTGCATCAAGTCAAGATAAACCACACAAGTAATGCAAATTTAACTTGGGAGTCCTTCATTAGGAATCGAAAAATGGAGAAATACAGAAGATGAACGCAATCCATATCTATAGAACTTAACTTTGCATTATTCACTGCCAAGCCAGAAGCATTAACATATATCTTTTGAGGTCAAACATTCTATAACCATACCCCCTTCCCTTCTTCCCCATAAACATAATACATTTACTAATTACCTGGCCCAAGTTCCCTTTGAAAACCATCATATATACATGTATATATATTATGTGCCTATTTGGAGTAGACAGTAGTAGGAAAAATTCACCAATGAAAAGGAATTGTTGCCTTCTTGGATGTTAATCGTTTTTGCTTTACTTTTTCAAACATTATATAGACAGAGTAGGGATTTCAGGCCTTGACCTCTCTTTTTGAAGCACAAGGTCAACACCGCTTAAGCTACCAAAAGAGTGGTGGATATGACAGTTATCTTCTGTGCATATCCAGGGTCTGCAGCATCAGTAGACCCCCAAACTATTTAAGGCACTAAATAGCAGAATGCATGGTATATGCATCTCAACTCACCTGGCCATCCATGCCTTTGATACCAGCTTCTGCCCCTTCTAATGATGAATATCTAACAAAACCAAAACCCTTCGAGAAACCAGACACTCGATCAGTCACTACTTTTGCTGCAACCAAAAACAATAAACAAGCATTAATGTTGTCTCATTGGGATGCAGTTCTTAGAGCTTCAAAGTCTGGATTTGGAACAGACCATGGACAACTTCACCGTACTGCTCAAAGGCCTTTTGAAGCCCTTCTGATGTTGTACGCTTGCTTAGACCTGAAAGTAAGACAAGATAAAAAGTTGACTAAGCCCTCTTGTGAGATAGAAATGGGAACCAGCAGCAATCCAGAGAATATTTATGGTTTCACAACTTATGTGAGACAAAAAAGAGCTGCAATTTTCATTAACATAACAACTTTTTTTAATAAAAATTCAAAGTCCAAGAATAATCACAAGAAGTTCATCATACTACAAGGAGAAAACTAACGAACTGCATAACATTTTAGCAGTACCCTAGCATTTGCAAAATTTCTAATTCTGTTCTAGCTTCAAACCATGGAAAAAGGAAATATCAATATCAAAATGCAAATCCTTTGCAAAGTAGAGCATACATATCTACACAACTACCTAATAACTCCATCTTATATCTAAAGAGATGAATTCACTCTCTAACAGTTACAAATCTCCTTAAGGTAATTGCTTAACACTATAAGCTCTCAGTAAATTCGCCTAGTAAGAACGAAATCCTAGAAAATCAAAATTGATGTGCAAAAATACAATACTTAATCCATTTTTCTGAAATATGCCTAAATATATGCGAAAAAATATGGCCGGAGACGATTCTATCTACGTTAAGCATATATGCGTATTTCGTCTTATATATTCTTAACTCAATAAAATACTAATTCAAATCGATACATACAGGATAAATAGTACGATTAATATTAATAAAATAGATGAGAAGAGTACGAGGGCAATAGTGAGGCGTACCAGAAACGAAAAGATTGGTGGAGGGCTCAGCTGGAGGCGGCTTCTGAACTTGAGCCTGTGGTGGATTGAAGGGGAAACTTGAAGAGAACGTCGAGAATAAAGCTCTAAGGCCTCGCGGAGCTGCCGCTGTTGTCGCCGCCGCTCTCAACGCCATTTTGGGGTTTAAGGTCCTCTGAGCACCAGGGTTCAGGCGAGAATTCTAGAGGCGGCGATCTATTTATATTCCGTATGCTAATATTAGGGGTTAAATTAGAATTTTGAACTTGGTTGGGCAAAATATTGTAATTATGGAATTTGTATGAAATTTACAAATAAATAAATAAAAATAGTGTCAAAAATCCATCCTATTAAATTGAACAAATAACATCTAACTGTTACTGAACTATTAAAGCAACTTCAATAGGAGTAGTTTTTTTTTTTGTGATTTTTGAAGTATCGATGAACAATCATGATGCATAGATGAACAATCAATCTGACGCAAGGTTAAAAGGAAAAAAAAAAAAAAAAAGCAAAGTAGTTAATGCGGTAACGCATAAGCAGGCTCGTGCACTACACGCATCCGGTCAGGCGCTGTATTGCGCCTCATGTGAGCGAGTTTATGCACTGCACGCGCCTGACTAGACGCTGTATTGAACCTCACAGGAAGCTAAGCGTCTATTTTTCAATTTTTGTGGGGTCCATGTCTGAAACTAAAAACCACTCTTTACGGGAAATTCTCTACTTTTCTTTTTCCACTCCCTCTTGCCTCCACATAAACCTTCATTCCTTAAAAATCACACCAAAAACTTGCCTAACTTTAAATTACTTTTGAGGTTGAAATCAAGGCATGATGTCCAAGTCTGAACATCTTTTAAAATTGAAATCAAGACATGACACCTAAATATGAATCTCTTTCTATATGAAACATGGTGCCTAAATCTAAACCTTTTTAAGGTACTAAACCAAATGGCACTAACATGAACATCAAATGGCAAGAAGGCATACTTTTAAGTCCAAAAAATGACTCTTATAGTATTATATATTTGACTCCAATTATGGTTTTTGTAGCAGTTAAGGTGGACACAAAAAGAGCTTATAGCAAAAAGTAAAAATGTAGAGAACATAGTTTCGACAAATTCTTTTGTATGATGCAGACATTAAACTTGTTTCAACACGAACACCATGATCACCATTATCGCCAATCCTAGGAACGAAGCTCCAACCGTTTTCTCCACCGCGCCTATTTTGGCACTTCCATCTGCGTTTATATAAACGTCGTCCCCTCCAAATATACTCTGGAAGTAATCAGACAAGTTGCTCATCATATCAGTCACCGCTGCTTTCGTTTTATTGTAGAAATCTGCAACCTTGCTTCGAGATTCAGACTTATCATCACTGCTTTTTGGTGATGGTAGGTATTTCTTGAAGAAATCTGCAAATCTGGTTTGAAATGCGGGCTTATCTGTGCTTCTTGGTGGTGGTAGATATGATGAACCATTGTCGGAAGCACAATCCTCCACATCCAGGTTGCTCCCGGTTGAGGAATCGTCTGAGGTTGCGAGAAGACAATGAAATACGAGACAAAACTGAAAATTCATTAAGAATCAAGGGAAGAGACCGGGACTTACTAGATTTGTGTGCTTCGATGAATTGCATTAGTTCGGGATTTTCCAACACTGCAGCAAAGACCTTTGGATCAGAAGCAATTGAAGCAACAACACTCTGGAGAGAAAAAACCGAGGGCCTTTGAGAAAGTCACAGACTTGCAGCAACGACACGACATTCAACATCTCAATCCAACAAATAGAATATAAACAGTTGTTATTATATTCACACACATATCGACAATGACATACATATCAAACCATTTTCATTCGTAAAAGATATGATAAAGTTCCAACCAAAACATGAAATATTACGAGAGAGAAGTTAACAACCTGAGCAGCAGCACTTTCACTGAGAAGCCTGAATGCCTGAAGGGCATTTCTTGGTGTCGCGTGAGTACTTATTGTTCCGTCACTATTATCACAACCTTGAGTCTTCAAACTATGGAAACTTGAAGACAGGTCCCCTCCGGTGGCTTGGGAACATCCAAAATAGTTGGGGTACAAAAACAAGCTGAGAATTTAAACCGTACACACCAATTAATCAGGCCAACATAGTACAAAACATGCAAAAGCAATGCAAAATGGAATTGAAAACGGTATATGTTTCAAGGGCTGTAAAATGTGTAAGCATATATAGCCCTAATCACTTAGGCAGTAACAAAATCTTCACGATAGGATACCACACTGAATTCCCTAATCAATCGCATAGTAGTAATGTGAGCATTCTCATACATTTGCTGGAGATGTCCAAACCATAATTTCTATGAATTTGTCTTCAACATGGGACAACAAACTACATAATAGTAGAAAACTCACAATCACTGCCCGAGGATGAGTGAACCCCGCATTGTGATCCTAGTAGCAAAGGAATGAAGGATCATAGGTAAACTAGCCTAAATTGCCCATAATTAACTGGCTCAAGAAGGCCAATAAGCTATCCCACTGGGAGTGGAACTTGTAATCTTGTGGTTACCAAGTTAAGGGTCAATAAGGCCAATAAGCTACTCTAGTGAGAGTGAAACTTGTAACCTTGTGGTTACAAAGTTAATGGTCTTATCAACTTAGCTAGGGTTATATACTTTCTTGTTAGATTAAGATTTAAGAGTGCATGTTTCTATAAAGAGTTCAAGAGATAAAGGAATATGGGATTGTGATCATGTAAAAATTGTATCTTTAAGCGAGATTGCTCTTACTAATTACATAATAATGCATAAAAAAATATTTATAATTAAATGGGGGGAATAATATAAAGGAAAATGTAAAGGTATGTTACTTGTCAATGGCTTCCTTGAGTTCAGAAGTGGCCTCTTTAGCTTCCTGGAGAGTAGGCGCACTGCCGAAGACGAGTCGAGCCGGCGGCGTTTCCTCCTCGTCGGAAAATCCCCAGTCATCAAACTCCAAAAACGGCTTCGGCACCGACATCCCATCCGCCGCAGAAATGTCCGGAGCAGAGAGCACTCCCCTGACATCATCACAGGCAGAAGAAATCGCGGAAGCGGCAACCGGACGAACAGCCGCGCATACCGGATGATCCGGCGCGAAGCCTCGGAAGCCGCCGCTAGCGGCGGTGATTCCGATAACCTTTGCCGCCGCCGCCGCCCTCATCACTCCTCCGCCACCCATACCGATTATCTTGTGCTCTAAGAAATCGAAACTCAGAGACCCTAAGCCCAAATCGTTTGAGGGAAACCGAAGAATCTCTGTAACGCAATTACGCAACTGCGTATTCGAATCGGATAAGCCAAATAGATGCAGAAACGCGAGAAGTTAGAAAGAGAATGATACCCATTGAATTGCGTGTTTGGAGCTTGGACACGTGTCGTGCTAGGACGTTACCTTAACCCTCACGACTTTTAGCGTATAAATTGAAGATTATTTACCTTTTTTAAACATTAAATCATTAAATTTCCATTAATTTGTGATATGTGTAGATTTAGTCATTTAAGGGATCAAATTAATGTACATTATTATCATAATCGACTAACTAAAAGTATTATTTTTATTGGTTAATTTTTACATTATTTTATTTTGAAAATTTTAAATCTTTTTTGAGAGAACAAGTGCATATAAAAATGTTATTCCTATTAACATCTTTAATAGTAGTTTTTTTTTTTTTTTTTTTGAGATGTCAATTACGAAAGAGATGAGAGAGAAAGAAGAAGAAAAAAAAAACTGATCTGATGCAAAAAATGAAAAAAAAAAAAAAAAAAAAAAAAAAACAAAGCATTTAACGCCCCAGCCATGCACGCACCTGGTTGAGCACAGTATGTGCATGCGCACATCTACACGACTTTTTACTCTCCAGTGGACCCACACAAAAAAACAAATACTTGCAGGAAGAGAAAAATACATTCTCTCCCCTTTTTCTCTATCCTCCGTTTCATCAAAAACATCACCAAAAAGAGCAACCTGATGGAAATGCTCTAGGACTATGTATTTTCGGCACTAAGACTTTTGGTCTCCAAATATTATGATGAATAATAAGATGGGAAAATGGCACTTTTTCCCCCTAAGTTATATACTTATAGCATTTTTTCCCCCTCAATTATTTATGTAAGCACATTAGCCCCCTCAATTATTTTAAAAGTGGTGGGTTTTCCCCCTGATATATTAAATTGACATTTCTACCCTTAAAGTAAACATTTTATTTATTTTACTTCTCCAACAAATTATTGTGTATATGTAGCAATGACCACGGTTCGGTTCGAACTGAACCGGACATTATAGCAATTGAATTAAAAGTTTCCGGTTATGATTCAGATCTAGAATCCAATATTTAGATTTCAATTTATTAAATTTATGAACAAAAAAAAAACTGGATCATGAACCGTGAACCGGCGGTTCCGGATCCGGTTCGTGATTTTGAACCGTCTTTATTTTAAATATTTTATTTTTTATTTTAAAATAGTCTAAATTCAACAATAAATGTATTTTATTTTTCAGTTCGGAACATGAACCGGCCATTTCGATTTGCGATTTTAATAAACTCTAAATATCGCGTTTTGATTCTAAATTGTAATTAGAATATTTTGGTTTGGTTGCTATAATATCTGTTTGGTTTGAACCAAATTATAGTAATAATTTGTTTGAGAAGAAAAATAAATGAAATATTTATTTTAAATATTTATTTTAAGGGTAAATATGTCCATTTAACATTTTAGGGGGGAAAAGAGCCACTTAAATAATTTAGGGGGAAAAAGTGCTATAAGTATATAACTCAGGAGGAAAAAGTGCCATTTTCCCTAATAAGATTATTATCATAACTATTGTTCTCGCCATTCGCTTATCTTTATGAAATGTGAGAATGATAACTCGTAACATCTAAAATACCAACTACTCGGTGAAGAAAATGGTTATCTAATCAGAAATTATGATTGGGGACTTGATATTTGCATTTGACTGAAAATATACATAAATGTCTAACTTACAAGTTACAAGATGATTCATTGACAATAAAGACTGTTAGACAACGATAATTACTAGTAAAGCCAACATATAATAATACTTTTAATAAAACTGAAAACTGTTGTTGTTCCCGATATCTTTACATTTCTAACTAATACAACATTACCTAATACTAAAATTTTATCCATGCATTACTCAAAAATACACAGATTAAATCGTGAATCAAAGTAATAGATTCACGGTTATACTCATATATACTAGGATAAGACTATGATATATAAGAACACCAAACGAGGTTGCATTCCTTAAAAACATATATTTCTCTCTTTATGCATCTTCGAATCTCTCTTCTTCTTCCCCAGCTTCCTCTAATACACCTGTAACCTCTACAATACAAAAGGATTCAAAGATTCCAATGTCAAAAATAAGAAGAGTCAAAAAGTTAATGCTCCACTAAGATTTTCGAAGTACGTAAATTCCTATTTGATAGAGTCACAGTTATATCATTTAACCATCGTGATTGTAAAAATAATAGTGACCGACTGAGTAAAAAAAATGTCGAAATTGGCCTCCAACATGGCCGGACACTCTAGACGTTGGAGTCTAGCATTTTTTCCTAACAGTGTTGACCACAAGGTCTTTGGCTTACATTCGCAAGTCTATTTGAAATAAAACTATCAAAACAAAACTCAAATCTTATAAAATTTATAAAGAGCGAAATTTAAACAATTAAACTCGAGCACTAATGTGAAGAGGTAAGTGTTCGATAAAAACAATGTAATTAAATGTAACTAACCCGCTTTATTCTAATCTCAATGTTGTGACAAATGGAGTTTGGTCGGAGTATCAAACACATTTTTCCTTAAAAAAATACAAGTCAGAAGCACACACTTTTAGAAATCTCCGCTAATTACGACCACTGAATCCTACAAATCCGTATAAAATATTTTTTTAATAATTAAATTAATTTTGTTGAGATTTATCATTTATGGCCTTTTAAAAAAAAATCAAAAGAAATTATTCAAATGGGAGATAAATTGAAAAAAGTGAAAAAGGGGAATAAGGCGAAAAAAGTCAACAGAAAATTATACCGTACCGTCGTTTTTGCAATCCGGCGGATCTTCGAAGAGCGAGAGGGAGAGCTGCTTGTGAGCCAAGCCGATATCAATGAAGATGAGGCCGGAGGCAGGATCGTCGACGATTACTCCTTTCACCGGCAGCCAGACGAAGAGCTCCTCCTGCGAGAAGCCTTGGACGCCGGAGAGGCCGCCGTGGGAGAGATTAGCTCTCACCACGCTCTCGTAGAACGCCATGGTATCGAACTTTGTGAGGCAGGGGCCGTCGAGGAACACCTCCAGAACCCCATCCTCCGACAGCGTGTAGTTCTTCACTTCCTTGGGGAAGAGTCCGGCAGGCAAGCCCTGCGACTTCAGGAGATCGTGGATGGAGATGGCGGCCGAGCGGAGAGGGCAAAATAGGAATATCGCGGCGGCGACGGAGAAGAAGATGAGGAGCCGGCCGGGGAGGAGGGGCGCCATTGGAATTTAGAAACGGAAGTTTAGAGGCGCTTCTGTGCCTGTGGGGAAAAATATAGAAGAAACTTTCAAAATGGCGTCGTTTTGTGCTGAGGTATGACTGTATGAGCATGAGATTCACGCTTCAACTGACTCTAAATATAAACAAATAAATATTGTCATAAAAGGAAATTACACTTTTAAATAAAATAATATTTTAATTTAAATTATTTCTAAAAATTTGTCCTTTACAAATTGTTTCTTTCATAAAAACATTAATATTTATAAATTCATTGCTTAAACTACTTTCCATTTATATTATTAACAAAAACAAACTTCTTATCTAATCTAATCCAATCCAATCCAATACAATCTAAATCTAAAAACATAATAAGTATCATTCAAAGTTATATCCCTCATTTATGTCCATGTTTTTATGGCTAATCATTTTATACATTGTGCTTTTAGAGTTGTATTATATAATTTTTTAGACAAAAATATTCATACCGTTATAACTTATGTTTTCTTTTCTATTATTGTTACCATGCACATGCATCCACTATATATTTTCTTATATTCTTTAATGATAATAATATTTGTAGATGATAGTGTAAATACGATGTTCTGTCCTACACTGCTGGATCGTATACTATTGGAGCTCGGGACCAGACGAAAGTGGGTCAGGAGGTTCCCTTCTAGCCTCGAAATCTACAAAAGCCCCCTACTAGCAATAAATGCGGGTATTTATAGGGGACGGGGATACTTTTCGGCCCCCGGCATGCCGGACACGTGGTCTACATGCAACTATCGGCACTCTATCCGAGGAATCATCTACATATACACGTGGCGCGAATGTTTCGATGCTACACGTATCTAAGCTCGGGCTAGGGGTCGGGAAGATGTCAATTGGCTCTTAGCGCTCGGTACCGATCGGTTCTGGATACAGACACAAAGACGCAACAGAACCGACCGCCAAGAGCAATACCCTGCCTAGGAGTAGCTAGATATATGACTACCAGTAGGCATTATATATTGGATTATTATAATAAATAAATTTGATTTCATATAAATTTTAATTAGTAGGGATTTGTTTACTATTTTAAAAAATATAAATATTTGGCATATGTTTTTGCGCATTAGAAAATACTAGTCTTATTAACAAGCCTCATTTGTTTTATAAGTTATTATTAAATGTGGTATAATTTATTTTCCCACAAATTATGTAAAGGTATTCAAATGATGCATTTTTATGAAAAATAGATAAATAAATCAAACAAACACTCTCAAATATTTTACATTTGTTATTGTCAATACTCTTTTCAATTAAACTCGTCATCAATATTTTTCTTATGTGATTACTTATCTTGTTTAATTTAGGCACATTATTGAATAGGTTGGGATTACGAATTTTTTGTATAACTTTTTCTTTTGTTCATTTATTTTGGATTGTCCTAATCATATTGTTTGTTGTCTTTTTACCATCCACGTATATAACTGCAAATAATAACAAGGTTGCAATTGAAGATTAATGTTAGTAGGTACATTGCATTGGTTGATAATTTTTTAATGTGATCCGTTTCTCAACACTTTTGGGGTTTGAATTTGGCTGTAAGGGTCCACTGATTACCAACTTAATTAATTAGTAATCATTATTTGCTAATAACAAATTTATCCATTAAATAAAGGGCAGTGGGCAAAGATTGCGATTTTCCGGCCACCTGCTATGTGTGACATAGACGCATCAACCACTACACGTAATGCATATGAATCAGGCGGTCGAGTTTGTTATATGCAATGCACTATTCACAACACCATATATATATGGCCCTCTCGAGATTTTTAAGGTAACCACCTTAACTTAGAATCACCTTGTCGTCTTCTCTGGTAGGTGACGTCTAATCATGGCAACAGTAGACAATCCACTCTGCAGCAGTAAATACTATAAAGATTTAATTTTTATGGGTCGGGGATCTAAAATCATCGCATCCCAAATCGGCCCAAAGGTTATATGGATTTGGTTCGACAAGTTTTATCGGCCCAGTTTAGCAAAACATGCGGGAGAAGCGAACAGACTAGGAGGAAGCAAAGTTGGATGAATTTAGGTGGGTGAAAAAGGATGTTGAATGGCGAAGAGATGGATGACGGGAAGGATCCCATCGTGGAAATTGCGGCTCAGTATCGAGGTTTGTCAGATCTTCGTCTTGTTTATCTGTTTATCAGCCTTGATTCGATTACAACGAATAATGATCTGTAATTGCCTGAATTTTGGTTCTTAGTCTTCAATTATTGGATGGAAATGGTTTGATCTTTAGACTTTAGTTCATGTTTGATAGAAAAAAGTTTATCAGGAATTGAGATGGGGTTTCTGGGGAGAGGATGTTAGCAGGAGAAGGGTTTGAACTTTGACTCTGTGAAACTTTGATTGGAATTGTGTTTAAGGTTATCTGGATTTCGTGAAAATCTTTGAAGTTTTCTAAACCAGGATTTGTTGATACTAAGTAAGATGATTTAGTAACTTTCTTAAGGTTTTTAGCAGAACTTAAGAACAGATATGGTGAAATCAACATCAGAGAAGCATGAGAAAATTCTTGATAAGTGAGGAATACAGCCCAGAATCTCTCCTTTGGTTTTTTCTTTTACTGTTCTGAATCTTTTGCACTTCTTATCACTGTCTGGTTTACTATTAAGATAATAAGATTGATAGTTATGTGTTATTTGGTGCAATTGAAGCATATTATGCACTCAATCACGTTTCTTAGTCACTAGATTATTCGATTCTTTGATAGTTCGTGGCTGTATTTCTGTTGTTAGTTCATACTGACACTGTTCTACTCTCCTGTGAAGATCTATCTGCTGTAGCTATTTAATCAAAGTTTCATCCATGGCATCCGATCATAAAGGTTATACTTATTTTCAAGTCCGGTTCATGAATCCAATGTTCCATTTCTAACGAACTAGGTAGATCATATGTAACGAGTCTTTTCATTGTTTTAAAAACACGATCATACTTCACAGGAAAAGCTGTCGTCCTTATGGGTCCAAGTGGTGCTGGAAAGTCGTAAGTCTTGTGATTCTTTTGCCATTTTTAATGTCATATCACGAGTTCATGCAACGTTCTCTTTTGGTTTGATCTCGTGTTTTGTTGTAGTTTGTCGTTGATAAATTATGCGTTTTCTTTAGACTTATAGATGTTCTCGGTTTTGCAGAACCATAGGTGAGATGCTCGGGAAAGCAATGAATGGTCACTTTCTTGATGCAGATGACTATCACTCTCCTTCCAACAAAGGTAGGCGTTGAGGTTCAAAGTTCAAACTTCTCGTTTCGTTATAATCAGTGTTGCAAAAATCGCGTCTGGCGTTAGGCGGTCGGCCTCCGAGGCGCCCTAGGCGGTCTCCAGGCGCCCTAGGCGGTCTCCAGGCGCCTAGCGATTTTTTCAACATTGGTTATAATACTAACATAGAGCAGCATTAAGAGAATTCGTTACGTAACAGAAAAGATGCAGAACGGGATCCCTTTGACAGATGAAGATCGCTTTCCCTGGCTCGAGACACTTCGGGATGTCCTCCGAGCCAGCTTAACGAAGGGGCAACTAGCGGTTCTCGCTTGCTCTGCACTGCAAAAACACTACAGAGAAATCCTCAGATCTGCTGACCCGAGATATGAACAAGGCTCGCGGGCCTGTTCGGTGAAGTTTGTTCTGCTAGACGCAACCGCTGATGTTCTTGGCGAACGCCTCAAGAAACGAGCAGCGGAAGGGAAACATTTCATGCCCGCAAAGCTCTTGCAATCTCAGCTGGATTTGCTTCAGATAGATGAATCAGAAGGCGTATTTAAGATCGACGCAACTCTTGATCCCCGGGATATTGTCAGCAAGATACAAGCTTTCATCATCTGATCACATCTTGTGGCTTTCTATATCAGTGATTGATTCAGTTCTTAAGAGACACCATTGATGTCTTCTTAGAAATTATCAAACATAGAGACACAACATCTAATGTAAGACTGATCTATCTCTGCTGTTTTTCAAGCAAAATCAAGATTTGTTTGTGTTACGAATTAAAATTTGAAACGCCACCATCTTGAGCCTAATACATCCCAGACTTTATTGATTTGTGTCAAATGTCACAATTATGAAATTCGTTTTTTTTTTTTTTTTTTTTTTTTTTCTGAGAAAAAAAAAAAAAAAAAAAGGCATAATTGGATTTCCTACATGCCACCCCAAAGACCAAAGTCACTTATTGAGAGTGGCTCTCTCAAGTTTCTTTATCATTTGTTCAAAGCAGTGTTGCAAAAATCAGGTCTAGGCGTTAGGCGGTCGGTCACCTAGGCGCCCTAGTCGATTCCCAGGCGCCGGTCAGCCACCTAGGCGATCCCCAGGCGCCGGTCAGCCACCTAGGCGATCCCCAGGCGCTGGTCGGCCACCTAGGCGCCCTGGACAATCCTCAGGCGCCTAAGAAACCAAGGTTGAACAGCTCGTACCATAGCTAAGCAGTCCGTTTCTAGATAAACAGTTACGCTTTCTTAAAAAAAAAAAAAAAAAAAAAGTTGGCATGCAGTACAAGAAACACTAGTACGACTAGTACCAATGTCATACAATTGACTGTACTGCTGAGTACTACTTCACATGCAAGCTGCACCTTCGATCTGTAACTATATATTTTAATGTTGATCTGATCAACCGCAGGAACAACTGCACGGCGGCTGTCGCGTTGAGTGTTTAAATGCATCATTGAGTGCAGCGTTGATCAGCATTTAAGATTTAACGGCGGCTATGGCGATCGCCGCTGCCGTTTCTGTTTTCTCAGCCTGCTAATTGACGTTGCACTCAATCATGCTTTTGGCGCTCATCAGATACAAACTTTTCCCAACGTTAAAGAAGACGGTGAAATGTAACGGCATCAGCAGCTCTTTAGGTCAACTCCTGTGTTATATATAATGATTTATAATGATTTTGACATGATAAATATACATCATTGCATCACATCACTACACTATTGCACCATTGCATAACTATATATATATATATATATATATATATATATATATATATATATATATGACGCAACGGGTGCGACGAAAGTCTTAGGTGAAAATATGGTTTAATTGTATTTAGTAATTCGGTCTAGATCAAGGGTTAAGAATGAAGATATTTTTTTTAAAAAATGTGGTGGCATTATAGTAACTATGTAAATAAGTTAATTTTTTTTAATCTATCGGTGCATTTAGCACATGTTATGCCTTCCAGAGTGCAATGTATGCCTTCCAATGCACATTGCTTTGCCTTACAGAGCACATTGTTGATCCTTCCATAGCATATTGTTATGCCTTGCAGGACACATTGTTGTGCCTTCGAAGTGCATATTGTTGAGCCTTGCAGTGAACATTGTTGTCTTTCACATTTTTTAAGATGGTAGGTGATATATATATATAGAATCCTAATCATATGAGAATCATGCCCCAAGTAAGAGCATGAGGACAAATCCAAACCATTGATCTGCAAGATCTGATGGATGGCAGATCAAGTAAAAAATGAGTAGGGTCAATTTCATAAATTTTATAAACTTCTAAAATGAGCGGGGTCATTTTCATAAATATTACACAATGTTGTTTATTTCAACCGTTATATAATTTATATCTACTAGATCAAAGGTTTGGATTTGTCTTTACGTTCTTACCTGGGGCATGGTTGACGCACTTGAATCTTAAGGTGCGTGGTTTTCTTTACATAGGTAAAATTTAACTAAAATTAATAATTAGTGATTTTTTTCAAGATCAAATGCTATTTGGATGGAAATGGATGGTTTGATCTTTAGTTCATGTTTGATAGAAAAAGTTTATCAGGAATTGAGATGGGGTTTCTGTGGAGAGGATGTAGGGTTTAGGGTTTCTCACCTGGGAAACATTTCATACCTGCAAAGCTCTTGCAATTTCAGCTGGATTTGCTTCAAATAGATGAATCAGAAGACATATTTAAGATCGACGCAACTCTTGATCCCCAGGATATTGTCAGCAAGATACAAGCTTTCATCATCTGATCATATCTAGTGTCTTTCTATATCAGTGATTGATTTAGTTCTTAAGAGACACCATTGCTGTCTTCTTAATTAGAAATTATCTAAATATATGCAGAATGTATACCCTTTCTTGTCAGCAAGATGCCGTTGTAATATGACAGTTAATTTTTTTTTTTTTTTGATAATTCTGACAGTTAAATATAGAAACACAACATCTAATGTAAGATTGATGATCTATCTCTGCTGTTTTGCAAGCAAAATCAAGATTCTTTTTATAGCAAATAACCATAAATCTATTCTTCCAAAATATTGAATCCCCAACCCTAAGAGCCCCCGATACGCCGATCCGACTGAGAATTTGGGAGGATGTTAATCACAGCGACTCAATAATTTAACAGACAGGGTTAAATGTCAGTGCGCATAAGGGATTTTTTTCACTTTAGACATAATCTCATCAACACTGCCGTCGTCAAGATTCAAACCTTAATTTTTTCTTCCAAATACTGCCTATTGAACAATTAAGATTCCCCCATAATGGTTGGAGGCTCAAAGTGATTGGGCTCAACCAATAAAATGTTGGTTTGTCAGATGAGGTTAGCCACACCAGATTGCCCAAATTTAATTAGATGATCTTTTTTTTTTTTTTTTTTTTGAAAGGGATGACAAAGAACTCGATATCTGTGTAATAATTTATAAACTATATATAAGAGATAAATCACATTAATAAAAATATGTGAGACGAGTTTAAGAGATAACCGAATATTATATTGAAACAATACATTTCTCTATGCAATCATTTTCTTATAAAATTATTAAATTATTCTTACACGTGAACGAAATGATGTGTTATACTGTGTGTACGTGCGACTAATTTGTTTGTGTTATGAATTAAAAATTGAAACGCCACCGTCTTGAGCCTAATACATCCAATACTCTCTCTCTCTCTCTCTCTATATATATATATATATATATATATATATATATATATATATATATATATATATATATATATATATATATTTTATTGATTTGGGTCAAATGTCACCCTTATGAAATTCGTTTTATTTTTGAGAAAAAAAAGTGCATAATTGGATTTCCTACATGGCAATTTGACTGTCCATCTGTCAAACATGTACGCAATGAAGTTGAGATAGATATAGTACTATGCTCATCTCATCTCTTAAAAAATCTAAATCTAGTTGCTGGATTTTTCATAGGATTTAAAGGACAAAATCCCAAGCATAATTTTCATAGTATAAACTCACGAGTTTGATTCTTACCAATACTGTTTTGGTCGAGTCATAATTTTTCTTGTGTGATTGTTGACTATTACACGTGAACAGAATTTACTTAGTATCCATCATTAAGGGTAGTGGCTGTTTGGTTTGTGAGCTATTACACATCTAACGCACCCACCATTGGGTTAATTGCTAGCTGTGTGATTTATGAATTATTACATACCTAACGCATGCTAAGTTTAGTGGCTATAGGTTTATTGTGTAAGCATATAGTCATTAATGTGTAATCCAACTATCAGCTTAGGCTTTTAGTTGAGATGGAGCACATGCTTCAATTTGGTATGTCACGTCTCATTATTAATCACTCTTGAATAGTGATAGTTATTTATTCGGGCACCAATCGATTCAAGAAAATGTTGGATGCAAGTCAATGAGTGTTTTGTTCAAAACCACAGCCCGCAGGTTTATTTTGAATATAATGCACAACAAAATCCATTATTACAAGGAAGATATTTATCACCCAAGATTAAGGATTCAAAGGCCGACAATGTTGAACATTGTGTCCCCTCATTAAATAAATAATAAATAAATACTCGTGGGCCGTGGCAATAGGAATATGAATATGAAACATTTTTACAATTTGACTATCATGCATGGACTACTATAGAGTGGGTAATCTGGAAATCGAATTCTCATTACAGAGACCATAGCCCACGTTTGAAACATTCTAGTTTCCCCATGCTTCAAAAAGCTAATCATACAAATTAAAAATCCATTCTTGGCGGCCATAAAAACATGGATCCTTTCATTTCATACATAACAATTGTCTGTAAATCATTGAAGAATATAAAGAAACTCAGAATGAAGATTCAGTGAGTGAAGCGAAGCCGCCGGCGAATTGAAGTCTGTGAAAATGTTAGCATTATTTCTCTTTTTTTGCGGTATTGTGATGAGGGTTTGTGCGTATGCGGAAGACACCATCACTCCAGATCAGGCGCTGGTGGATGGGGAAACGGTGGTTTCCCCCGCCGGAGTTTACGAGCTGGGGTTTTTCACCCCCGGAAGTACGCCGGAGAATCTCCGCTACTTGGGAATATGGTACAAGAAGATATCGCAGGGGACGGTTGTGTGGGTGGCCAACAGAGATTTTCCGGTGAAAGACAAGTCCGGCAGGCTAATCCTCAACGGTAACGGAAGTTTAGTTTTGGTGGACGGTAATAACCGCACAGTTTGGTCGGCGAACTCGTCGAGTGTCTTGAAAAACGCGGTGGCGCGTCTCTCAGACGGCGGAAACCTGGTAGTCATGGACGGCGACGGCGACGGCGGGAGTTTTGGGTGGCAGAGCTTTGATTATCCTTCCGACACGTTGTTACCGGGAATGAAGCTCGGGAAGAACTTAGTGACCGGGAAAGAGTGGTTCATTTCGTCGTGGAAGAGCCCGGAGGATCCCTCCACCGGCGACTACGTCAACCGTCTCAACTCCGACGGCTACACGCAGGCGTTCGTGATGAAAGGTTCGGAAATAGAGTTCAGTACCGGCCCCTGGAACGGCCGTTCCTTCACCTCCAGCGTCGCTTCCCGTCCAAACACGTATTACACCTACCAATTAATCTCCACCTCCGACGAGATCTACTTCACCTACGACCTCATCAAAAACATGTCCGTCCTCACCAGGCTGGTATGTAATTAACATTTTTTTCTTCGCTTTAATTATATCTATAGTGCA